CAAAACAGATTAATTGGTATCAAATGAAAAACTAAAGTATATGCATTTTAGAAGACAGTTGATGAATTTGTATATAAATAAACATATAGGAGAGGAGGGAAAAGTTTATTTGTATAGTTGTTTATCATTAATCCAAACTTGTTTCAAATCTTTATGATATGAAATTGTCACCAACATACATTAGTGGATCTTAAGGAATAAGTCAGCTATGGGCAAATAGTTAAACCCAAAACTGGGGTCAAAACACTATGAAAGTGTAAAAATAGGTTTTAACAGAAATGCTTTGTAAAAAAAATCACCAGTAATAAATTTCTGAAGAAAATTATTACCAGCAATACATTTTTGGAAAAGAAAAATTACCAGGAATAAAAATCTTGTCAGCATTAAATAACACATTGAGGTTGATGTACCATAAAACAAAACTATGAATTTTGGGAAACAGACACCAAAAGCTTATTGACCGTTTCAAGAACTGAAGTAATCAAAAGATTGAAATCAAATATTTTTATATTTTTAAATATTAGGTAGGTACTAAACTATTTTTTTTTAACTAGCCAAATACCAATTCTATAAAGAGAGAGATGTAAATAGTTATAAAAGTTATCTTAATTTCTGTATAAATAACCTTTTCAGCAAATCATCTATTTTCAGAATTTCTTTTTGTCATTATACCATATCAAGTCCACTTGAATTTCCTCCTCTGGACAGAGCAACACAGCCAAACAGGAGAGAAATATTTGAATAATTTTCTAATGTTTATTTTTATTAATAATTTGGCCATTTTATAAAAGTTGGATTAAAATTAAATAACACAGATGAAATATTTATTAAATATGCTTTTAAAACTTTTTATGCAAATTAAATGCTACCACTTATGTTGTAAATGCAATGTGTTTTATATATATATATATATATATATATATGACAAATAGGATGCCCAAGAGGTAAAGAATGAACCGTTTTGCTCTACTGATATAAGGTGAGGATGCAGACAAAAGTTTGGCCTTATATGAATTTATAAAAGATTAAAAACAGTTTTTCTGCTGTGAATTCAGCCATTAGTCTCAAAAGAGGATTCTAGTATTGATTGATTTGTTTTTTTTTTATGTCTTATCAACCCTTTATAAAGCCAAAACACATTTTGGACAGTAAGAATACTTTTTTGGAATAAATATTGCATTGACAATTTCTTGAGAATAATGATTTTTCTAGATTCAAGGCCTCCTATTTAATCCATAGCTGGGAGAAGAGAAGGATTCCTACCTTTTTGAAGGGTATATGCATGCAAGTGAATGCAATGAAACCAACTCAGCTCTCAGATTTCAAGTCACTATCTATTACTCCACCTGTACATCCAGGCCTGGGAGATTTTGTAACACCCTTAATAGTCATTCATCCATTGTCTTCACTGCTGGGGGTGGGGCACTTAACAGTAGTAACTGGGGTTAAAAAAAAGCATCAATCAAAATTTGCAGTTAATTGATAGTGAATTAAGGTCAAACCATGGAATTACTATTCTTAAATTACAAACATTTAGTTAACTACATTTAAAATGATCTATTAAATTTAAATATGTCTCTGAAAATTAAACATTTTTAATTTTTCAATTTTGTGGACATGGACGATTGTAGCTCTCCACAACTTTTGTCCTTTTTGTCTCTTTGTCATCATTTTGCAATCAATTCATTCAGACTCATTAAGTAGGCTACTCATTGTTTATCCCTTGTAAGTGTTAAATTAATACCTGCTTCATTCTGATTGCATCTATTTCCTTGTAGTTCCCATTTTCCTTAACACTTCCTTGTTGCTTACATGTTTTGTCTATGGTATTCTTTTATAGAACCACATCTCACATGCTTCAAGTATCTTCTTTATATATGAGGAAATTGTCTAGCATTCACTGACATACAGAAGATTAGATATTAACATCAGCTCAGGAATGTTTCTAAGGACATTTTCTTTTTTTTGCTTAGTTTTTAAAAGGCATCTTTTGCTATTTCCTATACACCTTTGGATTTCTGAGCCACACTTTCTATCGTATGTCATTATACTACCCAGTTAATTAAATTTGATCATGATATCCCCAATGAACAGCTCACTTGTTACATTGTCTCTTTTGCTAACAACTATTCATTCTGTATTCTTACAGTTAATAGTCCTTTCTTTTTTCACTGCTTTAAGTTGTCAGGTGTTTTTCAGTAATCTTCAGTTATGTTTCAAAATTCTTGTGGGTATCAATTTAGAGAGCAAGATAAATACAGTACAATCTATACATTTCATGTATATACAACGCAAAAGGTTGTGTTGATCACTGGATTTTTTTTTTTACTGATAATTCACCCAATTCAAGGCCCACTCAAGGTAGGTTACTGAGTGAGATTTTAAGGAAGGGTGAAAAGAGCAGTCATTCACTTCTGAACCGACTGCTCGGTTGAACTCTCTTCCTACGGACAGGAGGAACCCGAACCTGAACCTGTTTATACGGGTTAAATGGGCATATTTTTGGCCGAGCCCACAGGCTCTGAATGTCCACGTTAAAAAGGCCTTGTGCCACATGACACCCTCGTCAGGGGGGGTGACTCAATATCGTGAAAAGAGCATTATGAGAATTAGTAGGATATGCATTAGTTGATCCTGAACCTAGAGACCAAGATTGTAGTTATCAGGGAAGCATCCTCTTGGGAGTTTGTTCCACAAAGTTACAGTTCTGGGGAAGAAGCTGTTTGAGTGGAACTTTCTTTTTTATCAAAAGAATATAGGAAATTTAATCAAATAGCAAAATTCAAATAGAAAAGAAATTTAACCTTTATCATATAGATAATTTGATTAAGTGTAATTGAACAACGTTTGTATTTCCGAGATGAGGTATTGTAACTATTTACATTGTTCAGACTGTTGTCCTCATCTTTGTCATATTCACCTTGAACATCTATATTTCTGAGAAGAGGTATTGTAATTATTTGTGTCTTCTGTGGCTTTTATTCCCACTTGAGTCCAGCTAATTCTTTTGTTAGTTTTAGACAGAATAACATCATAACTAGTCTGGCCAATATGGAACATATTAGATAAATCAATATGGCTACTTGTAAGAGTGAGTAATGAAGAGAACTCAATCTTTAAATTGCATGAAGGTACTGATTACAAGAAAAATGTAACTTTAACAATTTTATCATCAAGACAGCTGTTACTTTCAAGATCAGTTGGAAAGTAAACTACAAGACTCCTGATGTACTTGTGAGCAAGTCTCTAGTGGACACCTTCTTTCTTACACCCCACAGTCTATAAAACGATACCCTCTCCAACTGTACATTATCTCAATTTTCATAAGGTAGTATTCATATAAAATACAAATGTTATTGTAACTGAATTATCTATAATAATGGATCATATACAGTAAAAGGTGAACAATTCAACTAGAAAAACTGAAAATAAATACAATATATCTAAATGCAAATTAAAGACATCATACTAGATCATTCTATCTTAAATCAACAATGTTTTGTGGCAAATTTTAACAAACATGAGATTTCTTGTTAAAATGTTGCATTTAATACATTCAGCATCATAGATAAAAAAAATAATGAATTTTATGTCCTTCACCCGACTTCACATGAGCAAAATAGATTTAGGAAAAAAAAAAAAAAAAAAAAAAAAAAAATATACAACCCCAGAATTACATCAAAAGCTGGACAGAGTATTGTGAGACAGGAAGATTTCTTTGATAACAAAGAAAAGAGTACTGAGATATCTGTCCTCCTTTACGGCAGTGAATGTTGGACAGTCTCCTCAAAGATGAGGTGACAGAAATGTGGTTCTACAGAAGGATGCTGAGGATATCATAGACCGAGCATGTGAGCAACAATGGGGTCTTGAAGAGGATGCACACAAGAAGGAGGCTTATACTTAATAACACAAAGAGGCAGCTGACATTTCTGGGACACGTAACGAGAAAGAAGGGCCTGGAGAATCTGATACTCACAGGTTGAATAGAAGGAAAGAGAGAGACCAGGAAAAGCAACATATGACATACCTGGCAGGCTAAAGCAAGTGGATGACAGAATGTGGTCAGGTGGAGGTGGCAGAGGGAGAAAATGTATTGAGAGCTACAAGGGATAGGAGGAAGTGGAGAGCCATGATCACCAATGTCCTGAAAGGGCACAGCACATAAAAAGAATAGCCAGTTAAAATAGTGCTTAGTTTAATTTGTAATGTACATAAATGTAGATACAAAAAGCAGATTGTTAACAAGATAGCGAGGGTCAGAAAGCACTGCTCAGGTCCCCCAATCAGACTTGCTTCCCCCACTCTGTTGGGGTAGTTCAGGGGGTAGTATACACTGGTCCTGTTTATATGCGCACACACATGCACAGAATCTATTATCCCAAACCCTTGAGACAGCATAAGATGCCAGTTAAACATCAGAGACGTACAAAATTAAGCATGTAAGCAGGTGCAGAAATTCAGTTTGCCAGTAACAGATGAGGGAAAGTGTGGCACACATTCAAAACTGTCTAGCAATAGCAAAAGTTATTTTCAGAAACTGATAAAAAATATTAATAGATAAAAAAAAAAAAAAATACTCCCCCCCCCAAAAAAAAGCAAACCTGAGAAATGAAGAAAGCAAATGCTGGTCTGCTATCAATACTCTTTTAGGGCAATGAATACTGGGGAATTTGGAATAAGTGACAAAACAGAGATATTGTTTTATCAATGAATATCAAGAAGTGCATGAACAGAACAAGATAAATGATTGATGGATTCAATTTTTACAGGTTATCAACCCACTGCAGGTTATTTAAAGCCAGAAAATATTTTTGGATTGTAAGAATTTTTTTTTTTTTTTTGAGGTAATGTCATAAGTCTTACTAATTAACACATAGCTGGGGGAAGAAGAGGTGGATTCATACCTTTCCCGGGATATCTGTGCATAAGTGAATATAACTCGGGTTTCTGATTAACAATTCAGGGCAATTATCCATTAAACCACCCACACATTGAAGCTTACAGCACCTGGGATTCCCAAGCAGTCACCCATCAAGGTACTGACCAAGCTCAATATTGCTTAATTTCGGGGATGGCATGGGAACCGGTGTTTCAACATGATGTGGCTGTAAGCAAGGACAAATGAGAAAATTTTAAAAACTACAAATTGTTGCTAACAATCAGAAAGAGGCAGCTTAAACTTTTGGGACAACAAAGGAAGAATGCTTTGAGTATTTAATATTCACAGGACATAGGAAGGGAAGAGGAACAGAGGAAAGGAACAAGTAATCCAAGTTTGAACAAATGGATGACTACAGAGAGAAAGAAGGATCATGGGAAAACGATATATAAATTTTTATTAATATATTTTCTATCTATACATTATTTTAACGAGTACAATTTATTAAAGTAAATACTGTGTTTTTAATTAAACAGTATTAATTACATTTACCGATCTGAATGTGCAAGAAATTTCATAGAAAATATACAATTTCCAACAGGAATCAAACCTGTGTCCTATATTGAACTGTCAATTGATCTGATATGCTATACCATTCAGCTATAGAGAAGCATCTGGTTAGCAAAGTCCAAAATAATTTTTTTTCAAAAACAAATCTTTGCTAATTTGGACCTTGCTAACCAGACGCTTCTCTATAGCTGAATGGTATAGCATATCAGATCAATTGATGGTTCTGTATAGGATATAGCTTAGATTCTTGTTAGAGAATGCATAGTTTCTACAAAATTTCCGACATTCAGGCCAGTAAATGTAATTAATACCGTTTATTTAAACAACAGAGCATTTAATTAAATAAATTGTATCTATTAAAATAATGTATAGACAAAAAATATATTAAAAAACTGTCGGACTTAATTCATTTCATAAATTTTTATATATCAAAAACAATTTTAAAGTAATCAATAACAAAGTGGAAAAGTTTTCATGTGATGCATTTTGTCTGATGAAGTCCTAAAGGATGAAGCTAGTCAAAAAAAAAAAAAAAAAAAAAACTTTTTCTACTTTGTCAGACTTCCCTAAAAGAGAAGAATCATAAAAAATGTATTATTGTAGATGTGGAGAGCCATGACTGTCAATTGATTAGAATGAGTGGGCAGATACCATACACAATTATGTTGATTGCTATTTCCAAATATCTTTCTAGTGAACCTCATAAATATTCATACTGATTGGATTAAAGCAACACCAAAAATATTACATTATATTTATACATCTGAATATGCAGGTAGTGTAATGGTGATCAGTGAAGAAAGTCGAATTATCAAACTGAGTTCAAATTCTAATCAATTCAGTTTCACTTACTTAATGCCAATGCCGTTGGGAATTGCCAGAGTCAATTTTCCTCCAGCTTTGGGTTAAATATCAGTGCAGACTGTTCTATCTTGTCTTAGGTGGCAGTCTATGAGAATGTAAACTAAATTAAAATCTGAGGAGGACTGTTTGGAGATGGTGACAAACTATATCATTTCTCTGTTCTTTGAAAAAAGTGATTCTAGACAAGTATTCACCACTATAATCAATTCATCTGTGTGGATAGTTGGTGGTTAATTTCTAAACTTAACTGTTGGGCCCTTGTGTGCTGAAATTGATAGGAATGTCTTTATATAGTGATCAATGAAATTGGTATAAAAATATTCAGTTTCCAAGGTTTGTAGAATTTCTAATAAGATATTGCATATAATGAGGATAGATGTATGAATCCAGATATGTTATATCTGTGAATTAAATCAGTAATAATTAAAAAGAAAAATGGTTATATTGGCTTCATTGAATATAGATGTTCAAAAAGGAAGCAGTTTTTTTTTTTTTTAAAAAGTTCACTTTAAGTACACATCTTAATGTGATTAGAATAAACAAATCAATTGACCAGCAAATTAAAAAAAAAAAAGAAGACAGTTCTACAGTGTTTCTGAACTTACAGCTGTGGTATGTTACAGATGATATTTGAATACTAAAAATAGCAAAACATTCAGTCAGTGACTTGAGTGACAGAATGAAAGAAGAGTCTGGGACAAAAAAGAAAATTAAAATTGATTATTTACAGATTAATCAGCACAGTATGTGTGTGCTTAATCTAGGATCAAAATGTGAGATCTCAGTGCTTTGCCTAAGATCTGTATAGTATCTATGAGCTCTGATTTAATATTTCTAAAACATTTACTTCAAGTAGGAGAATATTGTCTATATTTCTGAGATTAGGTATTGTAACTATTTACTCTATTTTACTGTTGTTCTCATCTTTATTGTCATATTCATGATGTTTCAGCCGTTGTATGCTCCAGCCTTCTTCAGGTGATATATATTGGAATTTCGAACCAAACCTTTTATTTAGTCCACAGGGGTAGATTGTTTTAATTCCACATGCACATGGCTCAGTAGATAAAAGCATTGGTTGAAGTAATCTAGTGACTTGACCTAAAGAGTTGTGAGTTCAATACCTGGCCACAGCAGAGGTGAACAAAAACTTGGAGAGTCGAGTTACTAAAGGGAAATAACTGAAACTGAGATATCCAGAAAAGGTATGGCATGTGGAACTAGAACAATCTACCCCAGTGAATGAAATAAAGGGTTCTTTATGAAATTCCAACATATATCATCTGAAGAAGGCCAGAGCTTATAATGTCCGAAACTATGAATACGACAATAAAAAGATGAGGATAACAGTTTGAACAATGTAAATAGTCTAAACAGGAGAATACTGATGATGCCACTTACCTGCTTATTTAGGGATAATATTTTCAAATCAGAGCAGGCTTTGTGTGGTAATTTTGTATATCTATTTACTTTATCATAGTTATGGAAAGAGAAACAAAAAGAAAAAGTTGTGCTGTTCATTATGATATATGATGATGATAACGGTGGTTTAGTAAGACTGAAAACTAGTATCAGTACATCTTGTTCAGATTTCTGCCGAGACTCTTTGCATTTATTCACTTTGCTCTAATGCCACTGAGAAAAGAAATCTTTTTGCTGCACCGCCTCATTGCCATATATCTAGATTAGGGGTCGGCAACCCCCAGCCCCTGGGCTACATCTAGCCTGCAAAAGGATTTTCATCTGGCCTGCCAACTTTAATACCTGGACACAAATTATTTAATTAATTTGTGGAGCAAGTGGCAGAAATATATCAGTTTGAGTTAATCAACTTACAATGCGATGAATTTTTAAAGTCAAAATGTAATTGCGAATCCACTACGGACTCCTACAAGAAATATGTTTTACCAAGCGGAAAATATAAAAGCCTATTGAATGGTATCATTATTTGGAAGTACATATGCTTGTGAACAACTTTTTTGAAAATGACATACTAAAATCGTTTTTCGAACAAGGTTGGGTGATGACCATCTGGATGCTGTTTTGCTTCTGTTGCCGACAAATATTTCACCTGATGTGGAGAAGTTATTGAACTATAAGCAGAAACAAGTGTCTCATTAAATAATTTGCTATTTTTAACTGCATTTTAATTTGTATTTTTTGTTGATTATGTTAGTTGTTATCTGGTTATACCAGCAATAAAATAAGGAAACAAGGATAACATTAACTTTGTTGTTTTTTCTTATAAACCGCCAGACCAAGGCAGTCTTCTGGACGTAGCGGTCAGGGGTTGAGACAATTTATTATAGTAAATTTGATAAAATGGCCCTCCTCCAAAACACTGCATAGCTTTCTGGTCCTCTTACTCCAAATAGTTGCCAATCCCTGGTTTAGACCATAATGCTGAAATTTATCTTCTGAAAGGATGTCATCTTTTATTTATTAACGCAATTAATGGATTTCTATTCGCATAGTCAGCTTTTCCTGCATTTGCGATGTTTTGTGATGGTGAATGATGCATGTTCAATGTTTTCTTGAATGTTTTTTTGTCTTATTATATAAAGAAAATCTATATAAAATATTTTAGCTGGTGTTGATCTGATCTGACTATTTTATAGGAATGGATGCAAATTTTTTAAAGAGTTTTAATTTTTCTCCTTCAATAATAATTTATTAGCCATGTTCCATACAGAAATAAAAACTGATCTAAACATCACTAATTACAATGATTTTTGTTATGACTAATGTTTTGGTTAGTACTACATTTTTAACAATAAAAAAAAATATGTCTATATTCATTTTTTTCTGTAAAAAAAAAAAAAAAGAAGCATTTTACTGGGGGTTAACTATTTTTTAATAATTAATAAATTAAATAATTTGCCATTTTTAACTGTATTTCATTTATAGTAAGGAATATGAATTTTTGTTGATTGTGTTAGGTTGTTATCCTGTTATAGCTGCAGTCAACTAAGGAGTCTTGTTCAAATAATATAACATTAACGTCATTGTTTTTTCTTTAAACCTCCAGACCAAAGCAGTCTTCTGGACATAGCAGTCAGTGGTCGAGACAATTTATTATAGTAAATTTGATAAAATGGCTCTCCTCAGAGACACTACATAGCTTTCTGGCCTTCTCATGCCAAAAAAGTTGCCAACCCCTGATCTAGACAATGTCTTTTATATCAAGATGGTTAATAGAGGATTGAGCACACCACTCTCCAAAACTACCTAATCTGCCTTGGCAATAGCAGCCAGAAGTTTGTTTTTTTTTTTTACTTCTGTAATCAGCCACTTCAACCAATATTTATTGATATACAGATATATAAATTAATATCTAAATATGAATTTCTATATTCTATAAGCCTTTCTGGAGTAATGGTTATTGTGCTAAACTCAAAAGCCATTGGTATTATGTTCATTTGTCATTGAACACTATCTGATCTGATTTCAAAATTGGGCTCATCTGATAGATGAGTATATGGAATAGAAGTTTATATAAAAGTTCAGTTTTATTTTATTTGTTAAAATTGTTTTTGGAAAAGAAAAAAAAATTACTTATAAATCAAGGAAAATTTTTATGTTTACATTGCAAAAAGAAATTCAAAAAGTACAACAAATAAAGTGGAGGTGATATCCTGTGATTCTGACATTCAATTTTCAAGGTATGGATCATTAAAACATTGGCTGGGCTGGGCAGTGTGTACTTGGTTGGTTGTTGGTGGATTTGTTTTGTATGGCTTATCAAACCTTTGCAGGTTATTTAAAACCAGGAAATATTTTTAGATTGTAAGAATTTT